CCGGATGGTCTTCGCATCAATCGGCTTGTCTCACCAACGCTGGGCTTGGCTGGTCCGAGGCCAGGCCGGCTTGGCGACGGGGTGGCGTGTGCACTGCATGAAGAGGAGGTGGTCTCGTCTGTGGCCAGCAGACCATGAAGTTAGCGACTGTAGTAGATGGCGAAACGCAGGGTCCTCACTTTCGAGAGCCGCTATGCTCTAAAGAGTATTTGTTGAGTTCATTTTAATTTCTGTCAAGTTCTGGCCCACCAATAGACGATGGTGGATACTTCTTGGTCTGCTGCTGCTTAAGAATGACGTTCGAGACACCCACACTTATTTCATTTTTCATTGAATAATCCAATATTTCAATTACTAAAGGCTAACTGGTCAGGATAATTGACCGGCTCATTCTCAAATGTCGTAATTTTACATAAAAATTGATTACATTATATCTAAAATGAGCCTTTTTATTCATTTATATATCTTCATATGTATATGTAAATACATACATACATTGATATATAGATACCTACATACATACCCGCCTACCTACCTACCTACTTACATGCATACATGTATGCATACATACACACATGTATGCAATCATACATACTTACATGCATTCACATATATATATGTGTGTGAATATGAAGCCCCAGTGATTGTATTAAGTAACTAGGGCAGGGCCTTTCATCCATTCCAAATCCTCAAGCTTAATGAACACTCACTACGATTGCGTAATAATGGCAGCACACTCAATTTTGTTGCTGAGCTTTCTGTATGCTGTACAGGAAGTGCGAATATAATTTGAACGATAACCATACAGGCTGATTGAGTGGTCTCAACCCCTCTCGATCGATGAGTCAATTGAGCAGACGTAACTCGCTCTCACTTGACTTCATGCATCACCCTCATGCCGAGTGAACGCCAGTGTACCAAAGGGGCCTAAAGACCAGTAACCTTTCGATCATCCCTCACCCAGTCGAATTGCAGGCCTGGTTCAGACTGCGAATGACCTTAACTTCGTGAGTCCAACGGCTGACTGCTAAAAAGGATACAGCAGATGCAATTATGTCACGTCCCAAGGCGACTAATCAGTCGTCAGGATTGCACTCAAACCGTTATGCTCACTGACATGTGTTGCTTACCTTGTTCACAAAATGTCACAGGGTTTACGATCTGAACATGCCAAAAGTTGCTGTGACAACAAGCGTTAAGATCGCACAGCCTGAGCCATAATTTATTGAGCTTTAAGGAGACCAGCAATATAAAAATTAAATGAGCACAAACGTAGTCAAAGTTTAGCAGCGATTATGCTACTGAAAGAATCTAGGCAAAAATGTTGATGCAGAAAGAAGAGGAAGACAGATTTGCGAATTTTAACTTGATTTTGGCTAAATTTAACTTTGGTAGGAAGACTTAGAGGAACACACCTAGTCAGGGGTCCATTGTCTGCATGATCATTTCCAAAGTTGAACCGTGGACGTGGTACAT